TTCAATACACACTCAAATAAAAGAAAAGTAGTGGGAGACACTATATTTTTGTGATAAAAAAAAAGAAGTACGAGAATGTCCATTTCTAATTTTCTTGTATCAAAAAAATTGGAATTATGTAATTGTAAATGTACATTTCTACTTTTCTTCTGAATCAAAAAAGTTGGAATTACAAAGTTGATTATAATAATTAGTTATAATAATCATAGTCGGGCTACAAGAAATGTGATTATTGAATATAATAATAATATTTGGCTATAAATGTTGTTGTTAGTTAACGCCATTGTTAGTTGCTACAAAGGTTATAGTTGGCCGTTGCACAAACAATAGTTGGCCACAAAGATCGTAGTTGGAAGCTGTAATAGTAGTAGTTAGCCACATAAGCCGTAGTTGGAAGTTGTAATTATAGTAGTTGGTCATAAAGATTATAATTGATGTCTGCAAAGGTAGCAATTTGTCATTAAGGCTGTAGTTGACTATAGTTAAAAATTATGATAGTAATAGTTGGTCGCAAAGGCAACAATGGGTTGCTACAATAGCGGCAGTTATCACAGAAGTCGTAGTTAGAAGCAATGGCAATAGTAGTTAGCCATAAATATTGTAATTGGTTGTTGCAAGAGCTATAGCGGGCCACATAGGTTATAGTTGGGAACTGTAATAATTAGCCACGAAGGCTATAAGTGGTTGCAAGAGCACCAATCAGCCGCAACGAATATAGTTGGGAATTGTGACAATAGTAATTAGCCACAAATGTTGTAGTTGGTGGTTGCAATAACGACATTTGGCCATAGAAACAGTAGTTGTAAGCTGTAATAGCAGCAGTTGACCACATAGATCATAGTTGCAACTAGTAACAATAGTAGATTGTTAAAAAGGCCATAGTTGGTACCTTTAACTATAGTTGATCACAATAATCGTTGGCAACAAAGGTCATACTCGATAACTTTAATAAATGTTGTAGTTGATGGTTGTAAATACTACACTTTGCCACAAATGCAGTAGTTGTAAACTGTAATAAAAGTAGTTGGTCATATAGATCATAGTTGAAACTTTTAACTGTTGTGGTTGGTAACAGATGCTGTACTTGGTAGTTTTAACAATAGTGTTAGACCATAATAATAGTTGGCAACAAACGTCGAATTCGATAGTTTTAACAATAGTAGTTGACCACAAAAGTCATAGTTTGTGGCTACAGAAGCGAAAAATTATCTCCAGGTCTTTGGAGTACAGAACAGGCTATGAATTTTCTCATATCCTCTTCCCCTTCCAAGTGAAGATTCATGGTTTATTGATAAGCTTTTGGGGAGGATCAATTTGGTCATTTGTAGTGTAACTTGCATGACTGCTTGATCGGACTGTTCATATTAATTCACCTTGATCATAGATGATTTTCTGACAATATGAATGCCTAAATGAACTCAAAATTTAGCAATATTAGATTTGTTGGATTCCTCTCGCTCAGACGTACAATTTGACTGTAAATACGTTAAATGTGGAGTTTATTTGATCATTCAGTTAATGATACAAAGCCTCTAAATATGTTTCAATATTTTGATCTGGGCTTGATTGTACCCAGATTAAACAAACTTTAAATTCTCCAAATGTGCTTCATTGACTTGATTGGGCCATTTCGATTTTTTAATAATAAATAAAAACATTATCATTGTTATTTAATATTGTTGTGTTCCAGAAGTTTTGCGGCGACATTTGGCCATAGAGACAGTAGTTGTAAGCTGTAATAGCAGTAGTTGACCACATAGATCATAGTTGCAAGTAGTAACAATAGTAGATTGTAAAAAAGGTCATAGTTGGTACCTTTAACAATAGTTGATCACAATAATCGTTGGCAACAAAGGTCATACTCGATAACTTTAATAAATGTTGTAGTTGATGGTTGTAAATACTACACTTTGCCACAAAGGCAGTAGTTGTAAACTGTAATAAAAGTAGTTGGTCATATAGATCATAGTTGAAACTTTTAACTGTTGTGGTTGGTAACAGATGCTGTACTTGGTAGTTTTAACAATAGTGTTAGACCATAATAATAGTTGGCAACAAACGTCGAATTCGATAGTTTTAACAATAGTAGTTGACCACAAAAGTCATAGTTTGTGGCTACAGAAGCGAAAAATTATCTCCAGGTCTTTGGAGTACAGAACAGGCTATGAATTTTCTCATATCCTCTTCCCCTTCCAAGTGAAGATTCATGGTTTATTGATAAGCTTTTGGGGAGGATCAATTTGGTCATTTGTAGTGTAACTTGCATGACTGCTTGATCGGACTGTTCATATTAATTCACCTTGATCATAGATGATTTTCTGACAATATGAATGCCTAAATGAACTCAAAATTTAGCAATATTAGATTTGTTGGATTCCTCTCGCTCAGACGTACAATTTGACTGTAAATACGTTAAATGTGGAGTTTATTTGATCATTCAGTTAATGATACAAAGCCTCTAAATATGTTTCAATATTTTGATCTGGGCTTGATTGTACCCAGATTAAACAAACTTTAAATTCTCCAAATGTGCTTCATTGACTTGATTGGGCCCGAATTGGCCCAACTTTGATATTATTAGGTTCTTCTTCTCGAGGCTTTCAGTTTAATGATAAACTCGCTGAAATCCAGGATCCTGGGTGTTCTTGAATTTGATAGGAAAAATTCTTATAAAAAATGTATTGATATTCATGCATGATAAAAGTTTGTTAATGATGCATCAAATATAATATAAAATAGTATCATTTAATTTTAGTAGTTATTTTACATCAGTTAATGAGCATCAGAGTCTTCTTGGAGAAGGGAATATAGATGTGCAAAATATTATTGAACCGACTCAATCGACTTGCTGTGAGAGATACGCGTCCAAGCATTTAAAGAAAATTATTACTATGACTACCATAATTTAAATTGCACACATTATAAATTATTTCTTTAATAAAAAATTACTACCCTCTGATTGCTTTGGTTTTCCAGTTATGCCTTTATTATTGGAAGATTTACATACAAACCATTCAATTCATATGTATTGCACGCATTATAAAAAAAGTGCTTTTCACTTTTTAAAAGTTAAAATATTGATATTTTTTTAAGTGCCATAAATGTAAAGGTGTTAGCTTGTAAATACACAGGAATGCTATGTATGTAAAGGTTCTTGGTCATGGTCATGATAGCCTGTCTTCTCGCCTGCCAAGCAATGCAATGAATCTAATAATTCTATTTTCCATAAAAGAGAGAACTTTTCTTAAATCACATGTGTTTGAGAAGTTATATAAATACGTTAAATGTGGAGTTTATTTGATCATTCAATTAATGATACAAAGCCTCTAAATGTGTTTCAATGTTTTGATCTGGGCTTGATTGTACTCAGATTAACCAAACTTTAAATCCTCCAAATGTGCTTCATTGACTTGATTGGACCCGAATTGGCCCAACTTTGATATTATTAGGTTCTTCTCGAGGCGGTGAATAAGTTTGAATCAATTCTTGCCATTCTGATATAAGAATCAGTCCAAGCCGTCTATATTACTTTTCGATGGTCGGTATATGAGAAACTTAAAATTACATCCAACATGATAAAAGTTTGTTAATGATGCATCAAATATAATATAAAATAGTATCATTTAATTTTAGTAGTTATTTTACATCAATTAATGAGCGTCAGAGTCTTATTGGAGAAGGGAATATAGATGTGCAAAATATGCTTATCGTGAATCGACTTGCTGTGAGAGATACGCGTCCAAGCATTTAAAGAAAATTATTACTATGACTACCATAATTTAAATTGCACACATTATAAATTATTTCCTTAATAAAAAATTACTACCCTCTGATTGCTTTGGTTTTCCAGTTATGCCTTTATTATTCGAAGATTTACATACAAACCATTCAATTCATATGTATTGCACGCATTATAAAAAAAGTGCTTTTCACTTTTTAAAAGTTAAAATATTGATATTTTTTTAAGTGCCATAAATGTAAAGGTGTTAGCTTGTAAATACACAGGAATTGGGTGCTATGTATGTAAATGCTCTTGGTCATGGTCATGATAGCCTGTCTTCTCGCCTGCCAAGTAATGTAATGAATCTAATAATTCTATTTTCCATAAAAGAGATAACTGTTCTTAAATCACATGTGTTTGAGAAGTTATATTGTTTCAAGTGAATAAGTTTGAATCAATTCTTGCCATTCTGATATAAGAATCAGTCCAAGCCGTCTATTTTACTTTTCGATGGTCGGTATATGAGAAACTTTTTCTTGAATTATCATGTCAATTGTTGGAAAAAAAATCTTATGTGCGGAATTCAAACGTAAAATAACATCCGGACAGACAATTGATACGAGTGTATCTATTGTACGATTTGTATTGGTTGTACTCGTATTTTATGTTCGGCTGTATTAGGACTCTACACGTAATATTCTCGCTTCATTTGTTGAGATTTGAATTCACATCACCTTCACTAATGTTGTTGGATTGGACCACCCCCCTCATTTATGTACATCCAATTGTCAGTTTTAATTTAAGAAAAGTAGTAATGCATGAAAGTTCACTAATTTATTGACTTTCAATTTTGCTAACTATAGTTCATGAATTACTTATGTTCTTATTAGAGGCCTAATGTCAAAATACATTTTTGCATTTCTTCTTGTTGCTGATAAGTCAAACAAATCCGACTGGTTCGGTGCACAATATTCTCTTTTATTTTTATATGCTTTTTTAAACGGAGCTGCGTTCAGATGTTAACATTTCACCAGTTTTCTACAGATATAAGTCTTAATGGGCATTTAAATAAGATACCACCAAACTCCTATGTATTTACATATCTATCACTTAAATTTTATTTTATTTGCATTTGTAATATCATCTTTTTTATGCAAAGTAAGATGGTATGTATGCAAATATTGAAGTGGTATGAATGCAAATCCCTCCTAATTTAATAAACTAAAACACTCGCAGTCGCAGCAGGGAAAAAATTTGTGTATATAAGACGTATGCAGCGATGGGTACGTCCAGGGGTTATTCAGGGGGTACAGGAGAGTTATATCGGGGTTATACCTCTCTGTAACTCCCCTATAACCTCTTTGTACTTCTGTAGTTTCATGGGTACAAATAAGTTACACGAAAGTTACAAGGGAATTACACGGAGGTTACAGAGAGTATAACTCGGATATAACTCCCCTGCGTACATCTTATGTACTCAAATATATATTACAATGCTTTATTTTTATGCCTGAATGGAATATTTTAACTTTTTTTTTTAATTTTTTACTTTAATTCTATAATAATTATTTAAGTTAAAGCCGGGAACGTTGGGAATCCTTCTTTCGCCTCCGTAATCCCATATTTTTATGGCCTTCCCTGCAACAGAAGCGAAGCAGCCATGGAAACCACGAAGCCCTCGCCGGCCACTAGGCTTGGCTCCCTCACCAGGACGGTCACCAAGATCTTCCGCCACCGCCGGACTGCCACCTTCTCCGGTGTGTTCGATGAAGAAAGCTATAACCAGAAGCTGAAGTCCAATCTATCGGGGTTCATAGATTCCCGTATTTCCACCGATTGTAATCCTAAGGAGAAGCCTAAGCTGGATGAATCAGCCAGCAGTAGCAGCAGCGGCAACAACAGAAATGAGTTAGAGGTAGATTCTCTTCTCGCCAATATATTCGCGAGCGTTTCCGCCATTAAAGCTGCCTATGCTCAGCTCCAGGTCGCGGAATCGCCCTACGATCCAGACACCATTCAGGCTTCAGACCAGGCTGTTGTATCGGAGCTCAAGCATCTGTCTATGCTAAAGCAATCTTATCTCAAAAGCCCTAAACAATTAGAAACCCTGTCATCGCCGGCGGACTCCCAAACCGAATTTGCCGACGGCTTCCCCGGCAGGCTGCACCGTTGCGTTTACGGTGGTGCCGGGTTTCAGGGTGGGGAAAACTTCGATCCAATGCGAGGTGTACGTATCGGAGGAAGGGAAGCGAAATGGAGGGTCCAGATGATTTCTCGACCAAATTAGTAATATTTTTTTAGTTTCTTAGAATTAAAATTAATTAGGTAGATGATGTATATGTACAATCTGCCATCACCTAACGTAGTTGTGTAATCATATTTATTATTTACATAAAAGAAAGAACGTTTAGCAGGGGGTGAAGGGCTGAAAGGTGGCGAGGTGGCATTGTACTAGATGCCCTAAACCCTAAACCCAACTATCTACGTTTTGAAGATGGTGTGATTTGTTCACTTGAGAGATCGATCCTTTGGGAGCATTTTCGTTAAACGGAATGGACAAAGGTAGAATCAAATCGATTCTCGAAATGTCTTTTTGGATTTTCCTCCATGTTCTGGCTTCTTATAGAATCTGAGAGACGGATGAGTAATCATCTGCTTCGTGAAGAAATTATAGAATTTTTTGAGAAATTTGTTTTTTCTTCTTCTGATAGATGGTTAGAACTTCATATGGGTGCGAGGCAAGCGAAAAAGAAAAAAAAAATAGTTGAAATATTCAAGATAATTATGTATTTACAAGCTATCATCTCAATTCATCTTTTGAAATCATATCACATCTCAGATATGCTTAAGAAAGATGAATCTGGTATGGATAGTATCATATAACACTTGCTTTTCATTTTTTATGGAGCCCATGGCAATACCTGTATGCTCCATAATTACACATATCTTAAATGGTCTTTTTTTGATGTGATAGTGGGGTCTCTTGGCTTTGACATTTTATTAAGCTCCTAAGAGAGAATTTCTTTCTCTTTTCCTTGACTCTTAATATATTGCATAAAAATCATTGTTCACATTCATGGCCTCATTTGAAGTGATAGCACAATCACATTCCTCCTTACCTAATGTTCAATAATATGATCAAGCACTTATTCTACTAAGCCCAAAACCAATCAATGTATAAGGGACCGTTATATCTATTGCTATTTTTCTTATATGATCAAGGAAAATGAAGCATCTTCACCAATGGATGCTCCAATCTTCTCATCTAACCACCCTCTATTCATTTCTTCGAGGTGGTTCTCCTTTGTCGTAGTGTATTAATATTTATTCTTCACATAAAAGAAAGAACGTATAGCAGGGGTGAAGGGCTGAAAGGTGGCGAGGTGGCATTGTACTAGATGCCCTAAACCCTAAACCCAACTATCTACGTTTTGAAGATGGTGTGATTTGTTCACTTGAGAGATTCCTTTGGGAGCGTTTTCATCAAACGGAATGGACAGAGATAGAATCAAATCGGTTCTCGAAATGTCTTTTTGGATTTTCCTTCATGTTCTGGTTTCTTATAGAATCTGAGAGGCGGATGAGTAATCATCTGCTTTCGGAAGAAATTATAGAAGTTTTTGAGAATTCTATAAGTTTAATTCGTTTTTTTTTTCTTCTGATAGATGGTTAGAACTTCATATGGGTGCGATATCATTACTTGCTGAAGAAAAAATAAGATGATTTTTTTTGTCCTTTTTAGGCGAGCGGAAAAGAAAAAAAATAGTTGATATAGTCAAGATAATTACGTGTTTACAAGCTATCATGTCAATTCATCTTTTGAAATCATATCACATCTCAGATATGCTTAAGAAAGATGAATCTGGTATGGATAGTATCATATAACACTTGCTTTTCATTTTTTATGGAGCCCATGGCAATACCTGTATGCTCCATAATTACACATATCTTAAATGGTCTTTTTTTGATGTGATAGTGGGGTCTCTTGGCTTTGACATTTTATTAAGCTCCTAAGAGAGAATTTCTTTCTCTTTTCCTTGACTCTTAATATATTGCATAAAAATCATTGTTCACATTCATGGCCTCATTTGAAGTGATAGCACCATCACATTCCTCCTTACCTAATGTTCAATAATATGATCAAGCACTTATTCTACTAAGCCCAAAACCAATCAATATATAAGGGACCGTTATATCTATTGCTATTTTTCTTATATGATCAAGGAAAATGAAGCATTTTCACCAATGGATGCTCCAATCTTCTCATCTAACCACCCTCTATTCATTTCTTTGAGGTGGTTCTCCTTTGCCTTTTGGTGAACTTTCATCTTTGGTACAACACGCTTTCAACATCCATCATAAATTTTTCTTTTCATCTTATTGCTTTAACATTGGCGATTATTGCCAACAACCACTATCATATGATTGTCATCACTCATCCACCATTGGTTAGTCACCGTCATTTAAACATCATCGCCCGACAGATTCATCTTTATCCGACCTTCGTTGTTGTCCGTTGACTATCATCTAATAATTGTTTCTCAATTGCTCTTGTTTGATTGTTGTCACCTAAAAGTTTGATCATGACTAGGGGTGTAAACGAGTCGAGTCGAGCTCAAGTCACCCTTGACTTGAGCTGGAGCTTGATTAATTTTATCAGGCTCTAACTTAAGTCTTCGAGCTTGAGTTCGATCCGGCTTGTTTATGGTAAAAGAGAAAAATAATATTAATTTAAGGTAGCTTTATAATAAAATGATATATATAATAAACAATTAGAAGATGAATAATAAGAAATCACAAAATAAAAATATGTAAAATACTATTTTTTAAACTATTTATTATTTTTAAAGATAAAATTGTTATATTTAGTATATTTTAAATATATTTCATACTAATATTTTTTAAAACGAGCCGGCTCACAAGCTAACGAGTGAAGTCGGGGCTAGTTTGAGCTTCGCTTGTTCGCTCATCAAGCTACATTCATGAGCCTCTTATCGAGCCGAGGTTGAGTGAGCTCACGAACCAGCTTGACTCACACCTATAATATTCATAGACACGTAAATGCATTTGCTAAACAGTTCAAAAAAATCACCTCAGTAAAAAATTCGAAAATCACAATATTTTTAGTGTTGTATATGTAATTATAAAAAAAAAAAATAAATAAAACAAAACCTTTTCATCACGACTGATTTTCTAGTATAATAGTCATTTTACAGGAGCATAACTAGAGCTAGGGAACGTTCTGCAAAAAAAATAAAATTAAATTAAATAAAAATAAAAGAAATCATAATAATAAATATTTATTTGTCACGTATTGTCTATCTGGCGAAAAAAATATTACGTCCGGAGTCTGGACGCAAGAGCAATCTCACCCGAAGATTTCAGGTGTATCGTGTCTAATATCCGAACGTAACCTGCAACCAGACGCCGGATGCAATATCTTCTCATATCTCACAATGATGCTGTGAGGAGGGCGACTGCATCAGTAGTCATCCATTTAGTTTAATGGTTATAATAATAATTATTATTATTATTTGCGTTTGTGTTGCATTCGTGGGAGGCATTGTGGCACGATTTTGAAAGTTTGATCACATAATTTGGTAAGTGAAGGTTTTAATTATTCACAATAATAGATAAGAGGTGTCACTGTTCACTTGACCCAAAAACAGTACAAAATTTACACTTGAGATAAGATTTTAAAAAAATATATTTAAAAATCGAAATAAATTATAATATTATTTGTTATTTAGAATTAGTTAATCTAAAGGGTATAATTGTAATAAAAATTTTAATTTTGAATTGATTATATTCTTATTTATCATTTTCTCTACCATAGTAATGTTGTAGACATTGAACTTAATTGGGTTTATAGATGCAAATGAAGCTTATCATAGTACTTGAGGAAGATATAAAATAAAGTTTACATAGAAAATAAGAAGGATGAAGGTTGGCATTATATTTATATGCTAATGATTATTTTAGAGCAATTTTGTGCTCATTTTGTTTCCTTGATTGAAATTTAGAAAGGAGTGATAATTGGATCATGATATTGTATGAATCATTGTTGTATATCGAATGAATGCACTGGATAACATCAAAAATTGCTTGTTTGTAATCAGCCACTTTGACACTGCTCGACTTTAATTTGAGGATTCATAGAGCATGAGAATTTGTTTTTGGAGCATAGATAAATTATATGATACAATTGCATTTGAATTAAAAAATCAAGTGTTATCCAAAGATTACAAGAGAAAAATTGCAATGGTACGCTCCTTACAGTGATGAAGTTGAACTGACACTTCACTACAGTACTAACAACAAGCATACATATTGTTGATCAAAGCTAGTGACACGACTGAGTCAATTGGCTTCCCCTTTATACATATTCAAAACAATCATTCTAAACTTTTGTGAGGGTTATAGGACATAGCCTATTTATAAAGGATTTGTAAATTCATTTTAACACTTTGTTGAGCGATGAGGGATAGAGGATTATGTTTGTTGTTTCTTATAGAAGATAACTCAATATTAAAAAGAGCAGAGGCCATAACTTCATGGTTGTTGTAGCTTCAATGTCTTAAAGATATGATTGATTCAATCCTAAGAGAATAGAGCTAGAATAACATTGAAATTTTTCTTGATCACTATATTTTTACAAATTAATTGAATATTATATAGTCATTAGGTCACTCCTTGTACACATATGTTTACCTATCGTCTACACACTCCATTATCTTGTTCTTTGCATTCACATTCACCATGCAAAATATATTGTTGGACTTAAATTTTTTCATACAAAAATATCAAAATTTTAGTAGAGAAATGGATCAAACCTGAATATTATAAAGGATAAGATGGTAGATTGAATTTGAGTTATTCTTCTTGATTAATATCAAGAGAAGTCATAATTATATCTCTTACACAGAGAGTGTTGAATCAAATTGAGCTACAATGATAATTCAATTAGAGAAATTTTAGAAAGAATCCATGAGAGAGTCTAATATAAATCAATAAAATAAAATTCGAACATAATTAAGGGATTATAATATAGATTTGATATCCTGACTCATGACTTATGATCCCCTATTTATAATTGTGCATTAAAATTAATATGGATAAATTAGGTATATAGTTCTCTTATATAGAAAATATAAGACTTATACTTGTAGCACATTCTTAGTAGATGAATTTGATTTATAATTAATTTTTCACTATCGATAAAAAATTTTATACTAACTTTAAATAGAGAGGAAATACGCTCAAAGTGTTCTCTCGGAAGATAGTCTT